CACCATTTTTTGCACTAAATCGCATCATTTTACGCTTGACTGAGTTTCTGACACATGACGTTAAAGTCTTTCTGTTTTGCATACAAAATAAGATGTAAAAGCGTTTCCGGTTCCGCTTTTTATTAAAATACCGGCTCTGTACTGTATCAATAAAATATTTGAATTGACCAAATCCTGTATTTGGGCGATTTCAAAATGGACGTAATAAAGTGGTAATTGAACCTCGTGTCGTGCAATTTTGGTCTGAAATCATACTTGTGATTTCAGCCCAAATTGCACTTCACTCAGTTCAATTACCATTATTAATAAAACTGTCCGAGTCACTTCAAAATTGCTAAATGATTCCGAAGAACGTATGAAAAGGCGGAAAATGCCTCACTGTCAGAATGCTAAAAAATACGTATATAATACAAAGGACACTAACCTATAACTGAACGCTTATTTGCGGCAAGTAAGATAAGGAAAAAGTGCCCGAGACATGGAGCTTTTCACCGGGTCACAGTATGATAATTCTCCAAAAAAGCTGAGAGGTTGTCATGTTTACGCATCATCAAATTGTATGGGTTTTAACCGTGATATTGGATCAGTGAATGGAGACAAATGACAATATTAGAGAAAACTGGCAGACCGACCAGGTTTGAGTTCGCGATCCTCAGGTACTAAATAAGCAAAACCACAACGTCAGCTCTAAGCCACGGGCTGAAAACAAAATTTTAGTTCAATTCCAAATTGTGTGGGAGGCCACTCATATGGTTACAATTGTATTTTGCAGGTAGAAGTCATCTCGTTTCCAGCACAAGCTAAACTTTTCTCGAAATAATCGAATGGGTGCTGTACCAAGTACATATCAAACTTACCTCTCGGAGTGGTTATGGAGCTTGCAATCGTTTGAACTTGTTCTGGGAGGTCATTGTACGACGCAACATATAATAAATCCTGTGGTCTTTCGACGGGGACGTCAGATGTACGTCCCAAAGATATTACGTAAGTGATGACATCACGGTTTTTCATCAGTTGCATAGCGTCCACCAAAGATCCCCCATCAGGTGATTGCCTTCCACTGGTAAGCAGTATGGCGACCTAGAATGAAATGAAACGGTGTTTAGTAAAATTAAACGAAATCAGCTCGAAGCTGCTGCTAGAGCTCATTCGGTTTTTTGTAGCAGAAAGTGACTAAAGGTATCAATACTCTTCCACGGGCTCTTAAAGGTTTTTTCCTTTGTACAGATTTTGTACAGATTCTAGTTATGGTTTTCGTTTACGATATTCAATCGAAAAGTGCTTTGAACAAAATAAAAATCTCACTAACCCTGCGAACAGATGGTCGGGAGTTCTGAAACAAGTTTGCAGTGGCATTAAAGGCTCGGTCAATCCTTCGCGTACCACTTATCTGCGGGGCTCGGTCGATGATTGAGTTGAAGCCCGTAATGTCCGTGTAGCCATCAAAGGGCAAGATGGGTCGGGCTTCAGTGCTGAAGATAATGACAGAACCTCGGGACTTTCCCGGTGTGATATTGAGGTACCTTGCGATCAGCTTAACGAACTCTTTTTCCCTCACGAATTCATCGGGCGTGACGTCAGACGAGGAGTCCAACATGAAGACTACGTCAGCCACAAAGTTGTATGGACCAAGAGCCGCTAGAGGTTGGTAAATTAAGAAAAAGGAAAGTATTTTATCAAACCTTCAAGTTTATTAATGGTTAAAATGCAAAATTATCCTCACATTGTGTTGGCTTTTTTCAGCAAGAGGTGATGGGAACCAACAACTAAACAAGCGTAGGGGATGGGG